CAATCTTCTTGAGTGATTTTCGTGTTGTTATTTTGATCGCAGCAACTCCAATTAAGAAAGCAATAACAGCTGTAATACCCAGAGCAATCAAACACCATTTACCCTCAAAAAATGATGATAATATAGCGAGTGTGATTGATAGTGCGATGTCCTAAAATTTAGAGAAACGATTGAAACACTTGTTAAACGCCATACACCTTTTCCACATGAGGGATATCAGCTAAATAATGATAATCGTCTCACAACCTGTACGGACTCAGTCTACAACAGCATCGTTCAGTTTATATTTCCTAATGTGAACATGGAGTAAATGGTTCTGAAATGATGGAGAATATTTGTGGTTGAGGTGGATGGTTTTCGTTGTGTTGTGTTGTGCTGTGTCGTTTGAACTGGCCACTTCAATGGTGAAGCCTACTTCTTCCTCCTACACAACATCATCATCACTAACTCGAATATAATGTGAGTTGTCAGTATGTCTCCGTATGTGATTCAATCGTTTATATTGACCAACTAGTTTGAGACTGTTTATTTCACTTGACCATTATGTCACTGACTGCATAAATTACTCCACTGACTGTTTCTCAGTTAGACCTCCAAGCTCTCACTTCTTCATCATTTGTCTCATTGTTTGATAGATTGAGGTTATGTTAATACATCTACTGATTATTGACTGACCAGAATTCCAAGCTTCTAGGAATTCTCTGATTTCATCTGTCTTCCTTATGTACACTATCTCTACATTTTCAAAGTAGAATTCATGTGCAGAGTTGTCCCCATACATTGATATAAGCGTTGAAATATGATGTCGTTTCACAGTCAACTAATGTTCATTTGAGCGAAGATGAAGAATGTGACCGGTTTGTCCAATGTGGTGTTGATCACAATTGTGGCAGTTGACTTTGTAAATCATGTTTGGTTCATCTTCCCTGGTTGTTGCATCATATGGTCTGCATAATATGGCTTTGAGTGAATTTGTTTGTTTGTGAGTGACACCGATTTCAAGTGTTCTGAGTAATCCTGTCATGATCTGTGATACGATCTTTAAGAATGGTAGGATTATGCGAGTGTTGACTTCCGTGGATGAACGAGATGTGTATCTTCTAATGAATTTTCACCCATGACCATTCTACTTGACCACACATATTTCAACGTGAAGTTGTTGCATTGCAGTGATTTGTGTTCTGCCGAATAAAGTCTGTGCGTAACTGATTTTCTTCATTGTTGATTTGTTTCTACTGTAGTTGAGAATTTGAGGATTGTGTGTTGGTTGACTTCATGTGTAAAGCAGAGTGTCGGAGTGGATGGTGTTGGTTCTACTGAATAAATCGTGGCTGGATAGTAGTTGGTTGTTCGACTCCTTCTCCAATGTAAATTTGATGTTTTGGAGAAAGCGCACACAGAGGAAGTGAATAAAAGAAAGTTGAGTGAGATAACTACTGAAATGGGAAACATGGATATATCTTCACAACGGCGTTCAGTTTTCGATCACCTCACAAGCCAGTGATTGGTAGAACTACACAACACAATGTCTCCAACGAGCTTCGAAGTCACATCAACTAACCAACCTCCATTCTCTACTCAATCGATTATACACATTCATTCAGTTCTCTGTTCACACCTCATCAAGCATATGAATATTTACAGTTATTGGGGTACACAAAATGTCTTACCAATAGGACTGAGAATAGAATTTGCAAGGGGAGAGAAATGTAATAAATTTCCAGAATAACATACGTCACCATTAAGCACGCTGTTGTAATTCTAAATTAAATAGAGTCTGTTAATCGCGATATTGATGCATTACATGACGGGAACAACAAACCACACATTCGTGAGCAGCCAAGACGCAGTAGTGTTTCTGTAACCCAAAATATTCTCCTCATACCTTATAAACTCACCCGTATGATGACAGCAGAATACAAGTGACTGGTAGAATGAGCAGAACTGCCGTTATTAGAAGCACCTTTGTATGAGTAAAGTTGAAAACTGTTGCACATTCTCTATATATAATCATACATTCACTTGAATCTCACTGGTGTCACGCGACTGAGATACCCAGCAATAACTTCTATCTGTCTCTAGGAATTCACCGAGTTCCATATTACCTCAATCCTTCTGTAGAATCATACTCTTATGTTTTAATCGGAGTGGCTGTAACAATATATGACTACGTGCGATCTCATCAAACATTTAAACGTGGCGAAAACTTCAGTGTGGAAGAGCCAGTTATATACACACCATTGCTTCACTTTTATATTGTACCTGTGCAGACTAGTCTGAATGAAGTTAATGAGAATTTTATCACTATCCGAAACTGATACCCGAGAATCTTTCCTCAAAACAAAATAGCTGCATCATTCCATTGACAATACTCCTTCTCAACATAAAACTTTATACAGATTTGCACACTAACCATCATCAACACCTCAGTGTGTGGTGTGGAAGGTGTTCGCGAACTCGTGAGTCACTTGATTATCTCGTGGACAAGAAGTTAATGAGATCACGGGGAGTAGACTTCATCAAATCTTTCCGGACTGATGCTGAAGTCACTATCACACTGATCATGGCATTGTCATCACAGATGCAATCATCATGAATAACATACTGAGAGTGAAACTGCTATTCTTTGTGCAGCTAGGCTTAGCCTAACACACACATGATGGCACTACTTGTCGATGGACTAGGATGTAGTAGAACAACCTGCCTCATACATTTAGTCAGTCTGCATATCACATCTTGAAGATGTTCTCAACCATTATCAAACGAAAGCATGTATCAGCTGTATTGGAATTCACATGACACTGTGGAAAGGAAGTTGATTGAAATACAGTAAGAAATGAAGATAATCGAGGCGTTTGCCTCAGTGAACAGCCTCCATCACATTATGTCAGGAAATCAGTATTAACCCTTCACACACACACACACACACACACACATCTACACAAACAGCATAGCAGAGCATATCCACCTACATGAACCACATGTTTCTGCAGATTAGATATGCAGGAATGCAGACAATGAAAACAATTTGATTGGAGTTATTGGGAGAGTGTCAGAGTTGAAATTCACTAGACGAAATACTGTGGAGTAAACGAAATGCAGGTGACGAAATTCATGTATTTACAAGCAATGAAAATTATTCATTTCTGTGGCTCAGTCTAATGTGTCTGTCCCACTCATCATCTCCGATGAATGAATTCCTAGTGATGGAGTGGGGAACGACTATGCGAAGATAGTGAATGAGACGATGATGCAATGAGAGATCAATTGGAGTGCTGTCTTGTTCGAAGTAGTCATGATGACCATGTGTAGTTTCGTGTTCATTGAGGACATGGTAAGAAAGAGTTGAATATTGCATAGTATTTTTGAAGGCGTGTATGATAAGTACAGCATTTCAGTCACATGCAATTCTCTGCATCACAATGACCAAATTCATTGTCAACTCACTTCTCACACTCATGGCTTCCAAATGGTGATCGCTTTTATGAATGGAAGGTGTATGTGAGTTTTCACTTCCTCAAGTTGTTTTGTTCACAGTTCTCATTGCATGAGCGAAGTGTAGTTGTGATACGCATTGTTTGGTCATCATAACCGATTATATAACTTGCATAAACCTTGACTGTTTGAATGTCAAGGATTAGAAGATGAGTAGGTAGACACTCAGAGTAAACCCTTGATGATACTCTATGAGCTGACTGCTCTCCTCCTCCTCCTCACTTGTTTCAGTTATAGCTTCACACAAGTGAGTAATAAAATCAAACAAGTGCATGTGCAGCTGGCGAACATTGATATTCTTGCTTGTATTTCAAATTCACCATCTCATCACACTTTGCTCACTACGCACTGAGAAGACGGAAACTACCACACCTCCGACCATCTCCACTCCACGCTCCTACACACAAAGAGTACTCCGTTCAAATGATCGCATTCTCCTTTCACATTATGCACAAGTCAACCAATGTTGCACAATATACATTTACTCACTCCATCATAGACTGCATTTGCTTGTGACCAGTGTGGATGATGTCGTGTGACTCACTGTCTCGGTGCAAATCGTTCCACACTATGGAGACCACATCAACAAACACTGACTGAAATCTAACTTGATTCATTGCCCTTCTCAGAGTTGTTTCCTACAAGTGTTACACAATCACCTCCAGTGATATGTGTCCTATCACTATCCCGATTACCACGTTGTCAGTTAGCTGGTAGTGCAAACTATTCAACTGAGATTGTACGTAATTGTGCATGCAAGTATGACATGTTCCATTCCTCTATGTAGGCAAGAATATCATGCAATGATGCCACACAATCTCCTCGTGTTATTCCATAAATGTAACCTTGAAATCACCAGCTGGAAATAATTAATACTGAATAATATACAATCTACACATCATCAGTTGACTCATCCAAGTGTATCAAGCGAGAATTATGATAACTTATTGCCATCACTCTCATCACCATTGAGACGATTCAATGTGGACAGTATGTGAGAGAAAATAAGAGACAATTACAACATGCTAGTCAGCAAGCATGTTCACCTCGTTAACACATGTCAGGTGGTTATATCAGGTCACATTGTATTCATTGAGGACATGTGAACAAAGATTTGCAGCATATATTTCTTCTCTCTGAATTTTTCGTATATTCTCATTTCTTGAATCATATTGACTTTGTAGCTTTCTAGTAACCTTATTCACATATTCCTTGTTACACATGCTCATCTATTAGATATTTCTATTCTCTTGACTCTTTTGTCACCTGCATATCCCTCTACATTCACAAATCTCATCCCACATCCCTTGTTCAACTGGATCTATGGGATATTTTGTAGGCATATCGACTTCATTTCACTGTCACAACATCGAATCTTGAGAGTGTGAGGAACCCATGATTAGTTTATTCTCAAGCAGGTGAATGTGATTATCCAATATTCATTCTAAGAGAGTTATTATGGTTGATTATCAACAGTGATACATGGAAATGTGTTCACGATCAACTTAAATAGTCTCTTCCATATGATGATTATCATTATCATTATCGTCATCATCATCATCATCATCATCATCATCATCATCATCATCATCATCATCATCATCATCATCATCATCATCATCATCATCATCATCATCATCATCATCATCATCATCATCATCATCATCATCATCATCATCATCATCATCATCATCATCATCATCATCATCATCATCATCATCATCATCATCATCATCATCATCATCATCATCATCATCATCATCATCATCATCATCATCATCATCATCATCATCATCATCATCATCATCATCATCATCATCATCATCATCATCATCATCATCATCATCATCATCATCATCATCATCATCATCATCATCATCATCATCATCATCATCATCATCATCATCATCATCATCATCATCATCATCATCATCATCATCATCATCATCATCATCATCATCATCATCATCATCATCATCATCATCATCATCATCATCATCATCATCATCATCATCATCATCATCATCATCATCATCATCATCATCATCATCATCATCATCATCATCATCATCATCATCATCATCATCATCATCATCATCATCATCATCATCATCATCATCATCATCATCATCATCATCATCATCATCATCATCATCATCATCATCATCATCATCATCATCATCATCATCATCATCATCATCATCATCATCATCATCATCATCATCATCATCATCATCATCATCATCATCATCATCATCATCATCATCATCATCATCATCATCATCATCATCATCATCATCATCATCATCATCATCATCATCATCATCATCATCATCATCATCATCATCATCATCATCATCATCATCATCATCATCATCATCATCATCATCATCATCATCATCATCATCATCATCATCATCATCATCATCATCATCATCATCATCATCATCATCATCATCATCATCATCATCATCATCATCATCATCATCATCATCATCATCATCATCATTATCATCATCATCATCATCATCATCATCATCATCATCATCATCATCATCATCATCATCATCATCATCATCATCATCATCATCTTCGTTATTTCGCTTTCCAATCTACCTGATGAGGTGTTGAGTGAATGAGAGATTTATCAGCCATGGAAACAATTTATTCTATAACCTGCCTAGGCAATCTAAAGAGATTTGAATACGTGTCTGTTGAAGTAATTCTCTCAGTCATATTCCAGTACTGCTTCTGTTCCAACCGGATTTCATTCCAGAGATTTGCATGGTGACTAGTGTGCTCAGAATCTATCACGGTTGAAACGTGTAGATCTGTCTGATATTCGAAAAACACCAATTACTACATACTGTGGAATATCTGTGTTGATTAGAATTCTCTTCGAGTCTAACGAGTGAAACCGGAACATGCCTGTTGGTTGTATCAGTGAACTGAACGCATTCAAGCATACTTTGCATGAGTATGAAGTTCCTTCGTTCAATGTGAGTGGTGGTTGACTTATTTCCACTTGACACTCGTGCACCCATGAATCGCACTCCTACTTATAGTTGTCATCTTCGAAGTAGCACATGTCATATAGCCCTAATTTTGCATAGCCTCCACCTGTTGTTTCGCCCATGACCTTAAAATAATCTACATGGATGTTTTCACACTTACTAGATTTTATTCTTTCTGCTCTCAAGGCTCAACTTTCATTGGTTGCTAACTGTGTATGGATTTAGTGCTGTCAACGTCATTTAGACGTGAATATATTCAGCACCGCTGTCAATTGCATTGACTGTTGCTTAGACAGTAAAATCTCGCTGTCAACGGTCTGTCTTCCCTCCTCGTCTTCGTGCGTCGGTGGTATTGTTACTGTGGTGGTTGGCGTTCTGATTTGTGTTAGAGTCGATTCTTTTGTACATTAGGTGGTATCGTTCGTAGAATGTTAGGTCGTTAAATATAATACACCTTGGACTAAAACCGTCATTTCCTCTTCTGCTTCTTTGTTGACTTGCTCTTCATACGCCTGCCTTGTCTCTTGCGTTTCTCTCGGTGGAATCCATACCTATTGCTGGTAGTTCCCTATGATTTTTGCCACTCTCACAACATACATTACTTATATCCATTCTTATCAGCAACGCCTACTACAGTACTACCGGTCATAGCAGCTTATACAAAAACAAGTCTTCGTTGTCCAGCAGTATTTATTAATCAATTAAACAATTCATGTTGTTTGTTTCTCGAGAACAATCTTATGAATTCCATGTGATTTGTTACCCGATGCCCCCACTGAAATTTTAAGATCCATTTTTCCAACACGCTTTGGCTGCTCTGAAATGAAAGCAATGAATTCATTTAAAACTCACATGATTATTCAAGAGAGGGTTCAACTAACAAAGAACACACTTTTCAATGAATTCACCCTCAGCTTTCACACCTATGTGATCATGTTGGTCAATCAAGAATAAGTGTTTGTCTTGAATATGCTACGTGCACATGCGCACTGCTGAAATCGATGCATATCAGTGAATCGCCTACACACATCAATGTAGACGTGAATGCAGTGGAATTCACCTACGAATTTGTAATTGGTGAATAGGAGTTAGTGAGTGACATTACATCTGGGATGAAACGAAAACAAGATGAAATTTCGCTGACCAGGGTACATCAGTAACCTTCCGGTTTCAGCTGCTCTTAAGACTTCAGATCATCGTGACGCTGCTTCACTCAGACTGGACTCGTTGAAATGAATATCTGAGGAACAAGGCGTTGTGCTAACTAACAGGACAGCTAGTCAGAGATTGGGAATCAGACACACTGATGCTTCCGCTACATCTGACTAACTACTCATTCCAATTTGTCAACCGAAAACAATGAGAAAGTTTGTGGAAGGTATGAGCAATGATGGTGAAATGAGAGTTACCAATCGGGAAAACAATAAGTAGGATAATAATGGTGTCACTGAGAGGAGAGAATTCCACATCTCCACTATATTACCTACCTACCATACAGGAAATGCATGTGAGAGAGTTGAGAAGGAATTCTGATGAATAAGTCAGAGATTACAGTGACATTTGAACACACGGAGAAACTCTCTCTGAAACAAGTCTCCTCTGAGGAGGATGCTAGAAATGTCTAATACTGATGATGATTGTCTGTAGACCTTTAAAATTTCGTAATTGGCTAGAATGAGATCACAAGTGACTGTGATTTCTGTTTGCCAAACTGATCTTCAGACTTGTTGTTTGCATCGATATGGTGTGTGTCATTGTACAATGTGCAGATGAGACATTCACTTCGCAGATTCTCCAAGTGCCTATTGGTTTCCTCCAGTTTTAGTTGTTAGGGGTGACAGTGAGGACAGAAGTGTGCACACTGTGCAAAAGTGTTTTGAAATGTAGATGGTGTAATCAATGGATGAATGGTTCAAGGATATTTGAAGAGGATTTACACTGAGCTCAAATCGACCAGTCAGCTCAGTGCTTATTGGCTGTTTGGATTTTAGTGGACGCTGGAAATTGATTGGCCTACTTGAAACATCTATTGGATATTGGGGTTCGTAAAGCCATCTTCAGTGAACACCAAGCACATTCCGATTGATGGCATGAACTTTCCTGTGGTGGATGACAGTGCCAGTGACACTGTCACAGTTCTGCAAGTTATGAAGCAAATTCAGCACTTTACACCAACAGGTTGGTTCATGTGAAGACAAAGTTAGTCAGTATCAGGTATGTGCACTGTAAATGAGTAGTGTTGGAGACAATTCTGAGATGTACAGTCAATCCAGTTACGCTTTTCTCAATGTTTGTTAATGTACTCTTGTTGGTGTGGGATAGTTAGCACGGAATCAATAAGTCATAGGACTACATCCACACTCGTCACAAAATAATCGAGTTCATGAGTGAGTGAGGAAATGTGTGTTGTGCAACACTGTTTGACTGGCGAGTAATACAGAAGAGGAAGGGGAGCTGTCGAAGTGAGTATTCTTAGCGAAGATACACGTTGTCGGCATGACCAGAGATGTAACAGTTCTTGCAATATGAGCATATCTACAAATTTCTTCATTCCCTATTATCAAACTATAATTTAATGCAGTGACATTCCTCTTCTCTCTCTCTGTCACTCTCTCTCTTTCACTCCCTCCTCCGTCCTCCCTCTGTTTCTCTCGCTCCTCAACACTTCCTACCAGTTCTGACTGATGTATTCCTCATCGCCTAATCTTTCAACTTCATCCACTGTCGCTTGTAGGGTTCATACGAAGTGGGGCGACTGAGACCGCTACACAGTAATTCACGCTCTTTTCATATTACCATCAAATCATACTGAAAGGTCAACGCGTTTCCAAGGATTTCCACCACAAAAATAAAGGTAGTCAAGTGGTCCTGTGGTTCCTCGATCCTCGATCTCGATCAGTGTTTCTCAGTCCATACTCCTTTCCGTTTCTCATCTCAGAGAAAAATTAGTAAATAATCCATGCGAAATGAAATCATGATATTGTCATGACATTTGGATGGAAACGTTCCCACAAATTTGTAAGCAAGGTGTTATGTGATGAGATAGATACTCTGCTGGATCAATTGAGAGAGAAGTAAAGGCATGGTATGTGAAGGCGTGTCATGGAAAATGGGTGTACATGATCTTAATGATCTGACAGCAACATGACTCAGTACAGCTTGAGAATGATATCGGTGAGAAGAGTGACTATTCCAATAGACTATGTCTCTGCCTTACACTTGACATTGTTAAGATGTTAGGATTCATGATGGACTGACATCAGTGGGAGAAGCATTGTAAACCTGGCAGCAGTGGAAAGACGTCTCGTCCTAGTATGAGGCTCCTCTGCAGTGCACATCCACGAACCCGCCAAGGACCGAACCTAGGACTCTGAGGTTCCGTGGCCAGAATATTACCACTGAGCCACTGGGTCACAATCCAATGGTTTATATTTCCAACTTCTATCAGTTCATGGGTCATGAGTCCCATACTAGGAAGAAACAGCTATCCAGTACTCCCAGATTTCCAATGTTTCTCCAACTGATGTCAGTCCATGATGAACACCAACATGTAACCAATCAATCCCCAAAACTCCACAAACTGAATTTGAAATTATGTCGATTGCACCGAGAACAGCAGCACAATACATCCATCAATCACACAGAGAACCGAACTTCTCTACTTCTGAAATGAACTACAAAGCGGAATGAGTGAATACTTGCATTTTTTATTATGAAAAATAAATGGAATACGCAAGTATTCACCATAGTGTGTCTTCACGTCAATCATGAGACTCTGAAATGACCTGTTGTACAGGATACCACAGCACACGCATGTTACCCTTATTGGAGTAGTGAATTTTGGAATAGGAATATCAACTGTTGCGTTGTAAGGCATGCTCAATCGATGTCTGCATCTAAGCCTCGTTTCATGACAACATGACAACATAGAATACTAGAGATTGAGTACTGATCGAAATACTTGACACTGACTTCACAATGTTACTTGACACAAGCACATCTAACCTCTGACTGTTGATACACATGCATCACGTGTGGATTGGGATGACACTACATCGCTACACCTGGAAACTGCGCACCACAAGTTGATGTGCAGTGGCTCTGTGTGCATCATGCTCTTGCCCTGAACAGTACTGCATCAGATGTATTATCCAAGTCTCTGTCACAGCACAGGCGAGAGTGAAGCGAAAGTGATATAAACGAATCGGAGGACAGTTTTTAAATTATTTGTAATTCGCACGGTTACTGTCGGTGTTCCTTACAGCTGAGTATCATTTCATCTGCTCAGCTGTGGAGGTTTCTTTTGCTAACGTCTTCTTTTGTTTGACACAGAGTCGGAAGTTGTGTCGATCAGTTAACATGTGGAAATTGTGCAGACATGGCATTCCAAACAACAGGCCGACACTTTCATTCACATCAAATTCACAAGCAAGAATATCAATGTTCGCCAGCTGCACATGCACTTGTTTGATTTTATTACTCACTTGTGTGAAGCTATAACTGAAACAAGTGAGGAGGAGGAGGAGAGCAGTCAGCTCATAGAGTATCATCAAGGGTTTACTCTGAGTGTCTACCTACTCATCTTCTAATCCTTGACATCCAAACAGTCAAGGTTTATGCAAGTTATATAATCGGTTATGATGACCAAACAATGCGTATCACAACTACACTTCGCTCATGGAATGAGAACTGTGAACAAAACAACTTGAGGAAGTGAAAACTCACATACACCTTCCGTTCATAAAAGCGATCACCATTTGGAAGCCATGAGTGTGAGAAGTGAGTTGACAATGAATTTGGTCATTGTGATGCACAGAATTGCATGTGACTGAAATGCTGTACTTATCATACACGCCTTCAAAAATACTATGCAATATTCAACTCTTTCTTACCATGTCCTCAATGAACATGAAACTACACATGGTCATCATGACTACTTCGAACAAGACAGCACTCCAATT